TAATTAACTATTAATAATTAGTATTTAATAATTAATAATTAGTATTTAACAATTTATAATTAATAATTAGTATTTAATATTTAATAATTAATTATATTATTATTCAATAATTAGTTTTTAATAATTAGTATTAAAATGGAGAATATTAGTAATTTATAGTATATTACTATTGATAATTATCAATTTATAACTTATATTCAATTATTGTTAATTAATAACCAGTAATTAATTTGAATTATAACTAATTATTGTAAACTTATTGTAAATAATTAATAATTAATTTATAATTATTATTACCAATAATTTATTATTTTAATTAATATTAAAGTACTATATTAGATCATTAGTGTTGATATTGTAAATAGGAAAAATTAGAAATAATAATCCCAACTTTCATCCATTTTGGTTGAATGATCCCAACTTTGGATTATTCTAGAATAATCCGAATTTTGGGGGTTCTTTTTTTCTTCAACCCCAAACCGATCAACAAAAGACAATAACCTATTATATCAGGTCACTTGACACGTGTCAAGTTCTGATTGGTCCAAAAATTTAAAAAAAATTATAAAAAAACAAAAAAATAAAATAAAAATAGAAAGCTACCCAGCTTCCTTCCTCCACCGATCCACCCTAACGTCCACCACCGAAGCCCAACCGCCACCCCACCGATCCACCATAACCTCCACCACCACATCCCAGCCCGCCGCGTCTCCACCACCACATCCTAGCCCAGTCGCCGTTTTCCTGCCTACGCAACCATCGCAGCCACGAAATCGCAGCAACGAAACCGCAGCCACAAAATCGCAGCCACGAAACCGCATCCACGATGTCACAGCCACCGAAATTGCAAGCAATTTTTTCGGGAGTGCGTAAAGTGGTTTTGAAGGATTTTCGCCGGTGGTTTTTGGGGTTTTCGAAAGTGGGGCTGGTAGTTTTTTTGGGGTTTGGCTGGTGGCATGGGAGTTCGGGGAGGGTGATGGTGGTTTGACTTGGAGCGACGACTCTAATGGTGGGGGAAGGTTGGTGGTCCAGCGAGGGAGGTGGCTGGCTGGGTGGTTGGGGCTTTGATTGGTGGTTTTTTTTTTTAGTGTTTTTTTTTAAAAAAAATTAACCAATTATTTTGTGACACGTGTCACTTTAACAAAAAAAAAAATCAACCCATTCAACCGGTAACCAGTATATGGGATTAAAGAAAAAGAAGACCCCCCAAAATTGAGATTATTCTACTAAATTGATGAAAGTTGAGATTATTATTTCTAATTTTTCCTTGTAAATATAATAGTGGAAGTTATAACAAATTCTAGAAGTTATTGAAATTGTATAGTGGAAGTTATAGAATAGGTAGTTGTAGTAGGTTTGTAGGTAAGAAGTACTTCCTCCGTGTTTTGTTCAATTGATAATTTTTTTTTACAGGTAAGATACGGGGGGCCCACCTCCTATCACAAGAGGTTGGATGAGGAATCGAACCCACGCCACTCGTGGGGAAGATGGAGGGACTAACCATCCCTCCATCAATTGATCTCCATGATCGATCCTCTGTTCAATTGATAATGGGCTCTAGAATGTGGTGCTACAGACATTTTTCAATTTTTATTTTCAGCAATCCACCACTAGTCAAGTATGGGCAAATTTCTTTCCTAAAAAAAATAAGGGTTTTATGACAATTAGTCAATTACCACCTACAATTATTGTTGTTTTAGCAATTACCATCTACATTTTTATATTATTTTTTTAAAAAATTTTACCACCTACTATTTTTCAAATATCAAAAGTTCCCACATACTTGACTCTCATTTCTCAACTCAAATGTGACATCATGTGGGGCTCATTAATTACTTTTTTCCTCACTTTCTTTCTTTCTTTCTTTCTTTCTCAATTTCTCATTCTCCTATATTGTACTCCTCTCAAAATTGGTGAAAAACATCAAATTAAATTACATATTCATGTTAATTTTTTCACGATTTGAAGTTTTTCCCCAGTTTTGTGAGGAGTACAATACATTGGGATGAGATAAATCGAGTGAGAAAGAAAAGGAGGGAAAAGGTATGTAGTTAATAGGCCCCACATGACGTCACAATTAATTTGAGTTGAGAGTCAAGTAGGTAGGAAGTTTTGATGTTTTAAAAAAAATATTAGGTGGTAAAATTCAAAAAAAAAAAACTATAAGTGGTAATTGCTATAACAGTAACAATTATGGGTGGTAATTGTCAAATTCAAAAAAAAAAAAAAAAAAAAGTATGTGCAAAATTTTAATCCAAAAGATTACCAATCTATAAAATAATTTTCCACAAAAATTACACTATAAAAAAATGGCAGAATGTAATCAATATAGTATGCAACAACCAATCAATGATAATCCATAACATATTCGCTTTAATATTGTTATGATGTGCATTTGCTCAACATAGCTCAGTATTTTATGGAACGGGGAGCCTATGGAATATTTCACCCTATCTTGAGAGGAATTAGGCAAGGCGGTCCTCTTTCTTCGTGTATCTATGTGATATGTATGAAACAACTAGCACACTTAATTGATCGAGAATGCAGACTTGGTGATTGGAAACCGGACAAAGCTAACCCTAATAATGGCCCTCCAATTTCAAATATAGCTTTGAAATTAGGCAAATAGCCCAAGTTCAAATTAGGCAAGACGTTCTATATAAGAAAGGCCAATATCAAGAAAATTGAAAGTAAAAAAAAAAATAATAAAATAAAAATAAAAATAAAAAAAGAGGTAAGGGTATATATGTTCAATTCACCGGATTTTTACTTATCTGAACTTATTAGACCTTATTAAGACTTATATTAATTGTAATTTGAACTTAATCAACTCCTATCAAAACTTACTTTTCCTTATCTAAACTTATTATACCTAAAATAAGTGAAAATCAGATTAACAAGACATACCCTAAGCTAACAAAAGTTGAAGAGTAAGAGTTCTAAGCATTATGGTGAAGTGTGTACAAATAATCAATTCAAAAAAAGAATGTTGTACAAATAAATATTTTTTAAATTATAGAAAATTTTGTCTATAATCACCCTTTAAATCCACCATTTTATCTAAAATCACCACAATAAAAATTGTTGCCTAGGACTACCAAATTAAAAATTTTGTTTTGTTATAAGATACCATCCAACGGCAGAAAATAAAGAGGTCTTGACCAAACTTTCCGGCGTTGACCTAGCACTTGACATCTATGCGATGTTCAATGGTCCCTACGGCCCTCCTTTTTGGGGTTGTTAAATACCGCCAACAAAAATTATCAAAATCGCAAACATGTAGTGTGAATGGACAACCATGCCCTTAGTATTTCACCACTATCTTCCTTATTGCTACCAATCACTAACACCTTGACACCACCACCCTGACCAGCGACGACGACCACCACCACCATGACTGGCGACCCACCACATCCCCCTCAATAACGATCCACCACCTTCCCTCGCCGATGGGAATGTGGTGGTTTTTTATTTTTGACAATCGCGGTAACTGGAGCCAAAAACCGATTACCAGCCATGGTAACCGATTTTGGGCATCGATTACCTTGGTAACCGTTTACCATTCAGGCACAGTAACCGAAGTTCAAAACCGGTTACCAAGGGTAAACGTTTTTGGGCTCCGGTTATCGCGATTGCCGGAAATAAAACAAAACCACCATCTTCTCGCCGGCGAGTGAAGGTGGTGGGTTGTCATTGAGTGGGATGCGGTGGGTCGTCCGTCAGGGTAGTGGTGGTTGTTGCTGGTCAGAAAGGGCGGTGGGTCGCCGAGGAGGGTAAGGGCTGGTGAAGTAGTAAGGGCATGGTTGTCCACTCACACCAAATGTTGGCGGTGGCGATTATTTTGGATGACGGTGTTCAGCAATCCACCCTTTTTTCCCTCGCTACGCTACAATAATGAAGAACTCAGAAGTACGTTTCAATGGAGAATTCAGAGAACCACCAACACGACCTACACCTTTGCCACCACCAGCACCTAAAACAATCCACACCTACACCAAAATTGCACCTCACCTAACCTAATCAACCCCTCCACTCTCAAAACAACCCCGGCCCTCACCTAATTGTAAACAACCCCCACCTTGATAAAACCTCTCACTCACACCAAATCAACCCCTTTTTCCATTACCCATGTCGCAGCCCTACCCGAAAATTAGCCCCACCTAGAAATAGTGGTGGCTTCAATGCAGAACTTCAAGCTCGGCATACACTTTAATGGAATTCAATTACCTCAATTATTGTATCCCTTGTTATTTTTTCTCCCAAAATTGAATCAAACGCAAACACTAGATTTACAAGCGATCGGCAACGAACTATCCATGGCAGCCATGACCAACGACCAGCCGACCACTACCATGTAGTTTCCGTTGTCGTTGCTGTTTCCATATGGTCGTCGATGGCGGTGATGATGGCATATTATAAATTCTCTTGTTGCATATTTAAAGATCGAATTGGGTTCCTTTAATTCGAGGCAAAAAGGAAACAAAGAACATGAAATTGATTAATAAATTAAAGACAAACAAGGGAAAAAGGAGTACAAGATGAAGAAAGCCATGGAATGATGAAGATGAGAGGATAGGTATTAATATATGGGGAGAGAATAGAGGAATAATGATCAGGAGAAAAAATATGAAGAAGGGGAAGGGGAAGTCACGTGCAAGGCACGTGCTAGGGTCAATGCCGGAAAATTTAGTCAAAGTCCAATTTCTGGAGATAGGTGGCATTTGATAACAAAATTTTTAATTTAGGTGGCCTTAAGTAACAATTTTTTTTTTGTGGGTGATTTTAGACAAAATGGTGCATTTAATGGGTGGTTTTAGACAAAACAGATACAAAAACAAAAGTCCTTTTGTATCATGGTAAAGAGAGCGGAATTTTGACGATTTGAATTAAGTCCGACATTACTTGGATTGTCAACAATGGTTTAGGATTTACGCCTACTTGTGGCGATTCAATTACTGAATTGATAACATTATTTTATTGAGGATTGAGAACATTATATTCTATCGTAAGTTGTAATCTCCATAATACATGAGACGACCCCAATAATCACCCTGATAACCTTCGTCCAAAACATGGTATAAGGATGGACAATTTAAGATTTTTGTTGTGCCTTGAGGTTCAACATTTTTAGAACTATCAGTATCAACTGTCACTTTACGGAAAAATGTTGAATATCTTGTATCATAAGCTGCCATCCTACCGCAACCCATTTCAGGAGCTGGGCTAGTTGGCCCAGGATCGTCGATCTCTCCTCCCCATTCAACTTGGTTTGCAACATCTGTTAGACTTGTAAATAGACTTTTGGGTCAATATCCAACTGGATTTGAATTATCGACTCCATCATATAGAATAAGCCACCAATTTCCGTCTTCATAATTCTATGTACAAAAGGAATATATACACAGGAGAATAGATTAGCTAAACAAACTTAAACGATACAATCCAATGTTCATTCACAGAAATAAACTTTGTATTAAACATTGAGATTAAACATTTAGAAATATACCTTTTCAATAGTTATATTCCAAGTATATTGATCCCACCGATTTCGGAATATTTTTCAGGGACAATTCCTAAAGGTACATCTTTTGACACTTGAACAAAACCATCACATTGATGATTGACACATACTCGTTGTCCAGCCTATAAACAAACATAATATTTGTTTTATAATTTATTAATAAACTTAGGTAATTACAATGATAAAAAATTAATAAGTCAATGTACATATATACTGGTACTTACTATAAATCTTGCATATAGATGGGCATCATCGTCGGTAAACATATGTGGATCAACCTAACAAGTGACAATAAAAACACCCACAAATAAAATGACAATGAAAACATTGAAGAAAAAGTAATGACACGTTATATTTCACATTATATTATTTAGATAGATCAAATCACTTTGGTAGTGCTTGATTAATTGATTGATTTAGATAAGTAATATTTCGCCTTAAAAAAAAAAAGGGAGGACAAGGATATTATATACAAACCATCCACCCTGCTTCGATACTATCTACACCATTCAATAATTTAATTCGAGTTGAAGACCATTGACCATTCTGTACTCGAGGCTTATACACGGTCATGGCAGCATTTGATTTGAAGAATTTCCTATTTGAATCATCAATGTTTGTTTGAACAACAGCAACCTGCATCAACAAACAATACAGTAAAAATTTCTAATCATATAATATAATGCCAAAATAACTAAGCAATAATAAATAAATTATTACTCATAAATAATAATAATAATAATAATAATAATAATAATAATAATAATAATAATAATAATAATAATAATAATAATAATAATAATAATAAAAAAAAAAAAAAAATTACAATAATATAATTGGCAAAAAACTTGAGTTCAAGATTTAAAACAAGTGGAGTAAATAATAATCATGTTCTAAAAGGCAGAATTTTTATCATTAAATTTCAAAGGAAAAATTCATGCATTGGACACCAATACGGAACAACATGCATCAAGTTGGGCCAATTGACCATATTGGTATAAAAGTTAACACCCTTATGACAGATTGGTATAAAAGTTATTGTCGGCGACATATTGGTATAAAAATTAACATCTGGCGACATATTGGTATATAAGTCAACAAATTGCGACATTTACCCCTATTTTCTCGTCGGAGGATATGCGTATGATACACGCGCGCGCTTAATTTTAGTGCTAATAACTTTTATTTGACATTTTGTTTTTTTTTTGTACTTTTCTCTACTTTTTATATTAATTTAAAAAAATTCTAAAGTAAAAATCCAAAAAAAAAAAAAAAGTTGAAAGCCCAAAAGTGATGAGAAAGAAGCTAGGGGAAAACGAATAGGAAAGCTTGAGCAAAGGGATATAAGCTTGAATGTATTGAGGGCGTTGGTCATTGAAGCATCACAAGGGTAGATTCTTTTTTTTTTTTTTTTTTTTTTAAAAAAAACACTCATATATATATATATATATATATATATATATATATATATATATATATATATATATATTTTCTTATTATATTGTTGATTTACAAAGTTGTGGGTATAATTAAACAAATGAAGTAATAATGAAAGTTAGCGTCTACTAGTAATTGGTTTTGAAATTAAATAACTAATATTGAGATTTTGTTTATTGTTTATTAGTTGTTTGGGGTTTTATCATTTGATTGATTTATCAAAGTTATTGTATTGGAAGGGAAGAGGGAAAAATTATTATTTGGTGCTGAATAAGTATATTATGATAAAAAATAAGATTGCAAAAGTAATTAAAACAAATTTATGAAGTATACAACATGCTCTTTCATCCGAAGAAAAAATAGGGGTAAATGTCACAATTTATTAATTTATATACCAATATGTCGCCACATGTTAATTTTTATACCAAAATGTCGCCGAAAATAACTTATACACCAATATGTCATAAGGGTGTTAACTTATATACCAATATGGTCAATTGGCCCATCAAGTAGACTAAAATTATTGTAAATTGCAACACCAACTACAATAAGGAAGAAACTCAAGAAAGGTCTTTTCCACATGGTAAAGGCGACACAACAACATGCAACTTTAATTTTTCATGTTTTTATTGGCTATAATAATAGGCCCGAATTCCATTAAATTCAATTTATATTTGACTTTTAATTTTCTCTCATATTTTGATGATGTGTTAAATTATTACTAATGGTGTTGTATGAAAGGACAATATTGTATGTGTATCAACTCTTTTTTCACCTTTCGAATAATTTTCTTTAATTATGTACTTTAAATAGTTGTCAGACACGCATTTTCACGATATTTAGTGGGCCATGTATTTTACATAAGGGAAATAGTATACCTTTATCTCAAAATAACTTTTCAATTATATTGTGTTGCAAGTACAGCTGAGCATCGTATCGTGCCGGGCCGCCACGGGTCGTGTCTCATCGTGCTAGGAGGAAGGTCATGCCAGGCCACCAAATGGACCACCTCAGCCCACGGCACATCCCACGTGCTTGGCAGGCCGGGTCGTGTTGGGCCCAAACCATTTTTTTATAATTAATTAATTAATTTTAATATCTTTATTATTTTAATTTTTATAGTTCTTTATATATTATTATGGTTCTTTTTATTATTTTTATGTTTATATTAATTTTATATTTATTGTTATTATATTTTATAATTTTTTTTATTATTATAGGTCGTGCTGGCGGGCCATGTCGGTGGGCCAAAAGTTCGTGCCGCGGTTTTGTTCACGGCACGCCCACGGCCCACCCCTCGTTCCTTGTGTCGTGCCATGCCGCTAGCGGACTCATGTCGTGTCAAGCCGCTACGGTACCGTGCTCTTGTCGCCCGCGGGTCGGGCAGACCCAGACCCAGCTCTAATTGCAAGTATATATTAAAAAATAGAGAAAGTATATAAACGAATAGTAATTGTAAATAAATAAAAGGGATATTTAGGGCCCATTCTCATACGTTGAAATTCAGTTCAGTTCAGTTCAGTTTAGCTCCTAATTTCCTTCTCTTATAAAATATATATTTCAGTTCAATTCAATTCAGCTCAGTTCAGCTCAGTTAGAACAGGGCCTTACTCAGATATGCCTTTAGAAATTGAATAGAGTTAAATAAGACATTTTGTGCTAAATGTCACAAAAATTAATAGGGATTAAGTACTCACACAATGTTCTAACTGGGATTTTGAACATTTGCTCTTAAAATGGGAACAGTGCCGGATGGACAACCACCATTCTTGAGTCCTATACCCTTAGATTTATTTTCAAATGTAGTTGATACTAAGGTTGATGCTACCTGCATGTATACACACCTCAAACACATAAGAAAAAGTATGATCATATTAGGCTTAATAGTAATTACACGTATTAAAATAATAAGTTTGGATCCAGAAAATTAGATCATATTGAAGAGGATCTATTTGGTTTTCGGGAACAGAAATCTAATTTACCAGTCTTTGGTTTGGTTCAGATTAAAATGTTTGAAAAATTATTCTTATGGGACCAATACTTTGTATAAAATTGTGCACTACAACTTTTGTGTGTGGCCAGCTAACACACGAGCAACCCCTAATCAAGTAAACCCTGACCGAGTAACTCTTAACCAACCGAGTAAAACTCCTGACCAATCGAGTAACCTTGACCAAGTAACCCCTGACCGGCTGAGTAACCCCGACTATTCTTTCAAATAACAGTATGGCCAGTCACATATGAAAGTTTGTAAATTTGCAAAAAATTCATCATCGTAGTATGTTAATTTTTACCTATAATTTTTTTTGGGATGAATCCATATATACTCCCTCGGTTTTTATTTCAATGCAACAATTCACATTTTACACGTATTTATTTGATTAATATCTTCAATCTGATGTACAAATTATAAAAAATTAATATTTAAAAAGCACTCTAAATTAATATTTTACATATTTTTATTATCACACTTGCCAACACATGTTTTTAATATAATATCTCTAATTATTAACATTGTAAAATTATAAAAAGTGGATATTAATGAAATATACATTGGGACGATTCAAACAAGATTCCACATGACTATATTTTTTTTTAATAGACATGACTATATTTTATCGTATCTATAATTTACAAAAACGAGTCAAAGTGTGGTGTATGAATAGTGTAAAAGTCAAACGGTGTCAAGTAAAAAAAAACCGAGGGAGTATAAATTAAGACTAATTCATCAATGGCGTGCATGAATGACAAATGGAAAGATATATGGAAAAAAAGAGTTTATACCTTGGAGACATGACTTTTTATTGTCAAATGACGAACGACGGATGGTTGCTTATAGAAATCTATGCAGTCGTAAAGTTGTCCATTTGAAGCCTAATCAATTAAGAAATATGTCAAGGTACTGTAATAAACTCATTTTTAGGGGGAAAAAAGTAAAATAAATAAAAAAAAACTTAAAAGTAAATCAAACACATTATTTTCACTTTCCTCACAAAAAAAAAAAAGGGACACATTATTTTCACTAATTTACGTAATGAAAATGAATAAAGAAAAATATTTGGACTCGTAAAAATCAAATACCTTTAGAGTTAGAGCAGGTTGTTGAGATGGTGTTCTTCCAAGAACACTTCCCAAAAGCATTGAAGAAACAACTAAACAAATCATAACCATTTTCATTGTTACGATGGTTTCGCGAGTCATGAGGTTTGTCACCGACCCTTATGAGCTTTGCTTGAAATTTATAAGAATTATTGGAATCCTTCTTAGTAATTAAGATTATTTATAACGTAGAAATTATTTCCTTAATTAGAATTATTAAAACATTATTGGTCATTTATTCAGCTTAAAAAATAGTTGTTCAAATATCCCAACGGTTATAATCATCCTCCAATGACAACTTAGGATGAAAGTGAGTAGTAGGACACTTGGCGATCTGGGTCATGGAAATTCTAACATGTGTCCGAAGGGCTTGTAAGATTTTTCTTTCAAATCAAAACGTAGTCGTTTTAAATCAACAAGCTAACGGTGTGTTTACATTTATTTAATTTCAGTTCAGTTCATTTCATTTCAGCTCCAATCAGTTCATTTTAGTTCAGTTCAGCTTCTAATTTCTTTTTCTCATTAAATATTCATTTTATCTCAGTTTAGTTCAATTCAGCTTCAATCAGTTCTGTTCAATTCAGCTCAATTCAGTAAATGTGAACAGACCCTAAGACAAACAAAAATAAAACAATAATAGAGGGTATGGCTCTAATAGGGAATATAATCTTCTCAATTAATTCAATAATGGGATATTATTAGTATGGAACTCCAAGTTTGGACTAGAAAGATATATTAAATAACCTAGTTAATACTGTAATTAGGAATAATATCAAGTCTTACCAAAGTTAGGAAGATATTGTAAATTTTGCAATCAATGTTTTAATCACACTAAAGCCTTGTTCACTTCACCTTAATAAAATAATATTAAGTAAAAATAATTTCAGTTTAGTAAAATTAATTTCAGTTCATTAGAAATAAGTTCAATTCACTAAAATTCAGTTTTCTTAAAGAAGAATTATAATAGAAAATCAGTAAAAATAATTTATGTTTAGTAAAATTAATTTAAGTTAAGTAAAAATAATTTAAGTTCAGCAAATATAATTTTGTTTCGGTAAATTAATTTCAGTTCAGCATAAATAAGGTGAAGTGAAAGGGGCCTTAATGTATATATGGTTTGAAGTAGAAATATATATTTATTTACCTAATTAATAATTAGGAACAATATCAAGTCTTACCAAAGTTTGGAAGATATTGTAAATTATGCAATCAATGTTCTAATTACACTTTTTTTTAATAAAACATTTATGGATTATAAACTTATAATACAAAAATACTTGTAATGACTAATGAGCCCAATAACAAACTATGGGTCTATTCTCATACGTTGAAATTCAGTTCAATTCAGCTCCTAATTTCCTTCTCTTATAAAATGTTCAGTTCAGTTCAATTTAGTTCAGCCGATGTAGGGAATAATTTCAAGCGTTAATTCCTAGCTTGAACCCCACTGTGATCATACACTAAAGTACGGTGGCGTCCAAAAGGGAAGAAGATAGAGCAAAAGAGTCGCCAACAAGTTTTAGGAACTTGTAAACCGTTCACGAGGTGAAGGTTACACCCCTTAACGATCCAAGAAATTGTCAACTCCATAAGGTCTAGAACCAAATAAGGGTTCGGGGATGAAGATACAAATCCAACCTAAAAGAGATTGAACCTGCCCTAATAATAGACCTCTACTTTATTCTGATCGTATTCATGTGCGCTTTCTGATTAACATACAATAAATAGGTTTACCCTAAACCTGTTTATCTATGTTGGTTAAATATAATGCACAAATAAACCTAGTATTGGCGATCACTTGAAATTATAATCAAATTAACCCTAACAAGATTATTAATTATCTTATTAAGCATGATTACAAGTACAAATTCCCTTTAAACATGCATAAAAGGAGTGATCAAGCAATAAAAATAAATAATACATCAAGCAACATAATAAAAATCAAAATAATAATTAAAATAATTATAATAATAATCAAAACAATAATCATCATAATAATAATTATAACCATCATCAAAATAATAATATTCATAATCATCATAAATTATAACAATTGTAATCATAACCATGTTAAAGCATAATAAAAATAGCAAGATCCTAGGCATGATACTAACAAGATTAATAAACAAACACTAACATGTCACTAAGCAATAAAAATCAAATCTTTAACCCTAACATGATACTAACAATCATAAATATTAGGAAGAACATAGGAAGCATCATAACAATCATATTTAATATTAAAATTACCCTAGACATGATACTAGGAATATCATAACATCAATTAATCAATTAAAGTACTTACTTTGATGCCTCGTACCTCTTTCTAATAACAAAATACACACATTAGTAACTTCAAGGAAAATAATAATCAAAACAATTAAATTAAATAATTGAAAGAGAGATTTGGGACCAAACCCTCAGAAATATCAAACCTTTCACGTCTAGGGCGAAGACAACTTCAAATATGGCTAGGTGTTTCTAGATCTAATGAATGCAGAATTTTGTATGTAAAAAGCAAGGTTAGAAAAAGAGGAGAGAATGAGATGGATTAGAGAATGAATAAGGAAATCTTGATGAGAATTAGCGAATGATTAAAGAGAATGAAAGAGAATTGAAAACTGGTTGTAGGTGAATGAAAACGGAGTTTTTACGACGTTATTTTTAGAGAAAATCAGCCAAAAAGATAAAATTAACAAAATAGAGTATTGGCGCACGTGAAACAGAGCTGGCGCCAACGCCAGCTTATTGGCGTCAGCCTTAGCGCCAAGCGCCAATGCCTGGCGTTTGGGGCTAACACTGTTTTTGACGCGCTTTCTCAAATCAGATAAATTTTTCCATACAGGAGGAAAAAATCGTATCTTTTCCTCAAAAATGCTCTTTGATTTTAATTAAAACTCTGAAAAGTCAACAAAAGTCAATTTATCAATGCTAATTGAATTAGGAATGAAAAGAACCTTCTAGAAGAATCTAGAAGACTAAAACCATTCCTAATTGCATTAGGAATGATAAATCATATTAGGCCCTCCCCTAGATCATTGGGCTGCATATAAAACTCAAACCGGGCCCAGTTTAGTAAATTTGCGATAACTTCCTCAATATTCATCGGAATTGGGCTTATAATATATCGTTGGAAAGATCTTGTCAAGCCCCATCCAACTACACTACTATTGGACCCATATCATTGACCAACCAAACTAGATTGACTATTTTCTTAAAATAAGTTTTTAAAAACAGAGATAAGAGAAAAGAAATTAAAACTATCCGCAACACTAGACTTTCCACACTTTCGCTTCATTCGATTATGATTCGATGTGAAAGGTACTCATCACTGGGTTTGGTTTTGGGGAGACACAAATGAGTGTCTACAGCCGAGTTCAGTCAATGAGGACAGGTCCTAAGGCCTTTTTAATAAGACCAATACACAAGTGAAAACTCAATAGGTATAAGCTGCACCCTTGTGCACCTATTTTAGATGCAACACCATTTCACAAGCCAGTGATAATTTATTATGATTTTATATAGAAGAATTAGCTAAAATTTATTTGATTTTTTACAATAATTTCTTTGAACACTATCCATGTCCAGTTTCTTTTCACCCCTAACCTCAGGCGACGCACCATCCCTAACTGCCACACTAGAGTGGACATTCTTTTACCTAAAATTCATTTTTACCACTCATCTTTCTTCATAGAGGAAACCCAAAAAACTAATAATAATAATAATAATAATAATAATAATAAGTTATGGGTGTCATCACAAGCTATTACAACTATGTGAAGAAACAGACAACAACGATAAAAAAAAACTAAAAGGGAAGCTGCAAAGTCGTTATGGCTCTGACTTTGATGATTCAGATTCCACGTACTGATTCGGACTTAGAGACTAGTGATTCTAATGAAGACAATGATTCTAATATCCCTCAAGCTGATAATTTGTTTTCCAATCTTAACTACTCCAATACCAAACACCCCCTTCCCTTATAAAATTCAATCGTGGAAACCAATTACACAAAGACAAAAGACAATAATTTTTGCATTACTTTTCGATAATTTGAATTGGCATTTAACATAGTAAAATTCGAAATGACAAAAAATAACTTACAAAGATAACTACTTGTTGAGGTGAGTCGCAGCGTGCGACACAGGTGGTGCCGTGGTGGTCTGGGGGAAGTAGTGTTTTTGAACTGTTATTTTTTACTTTCCCCATGAAATAAAGATACCTGTTCCAATTATCAATCATCTATCAAATTCAATTCGTAACCAATCAATTATTGGTTTCATACACCTTAATTATCAATCAAAAAAGCATTTTAATTTGTTACCGCAGTCAATTCGCCACCGCTCACTGAAGGAGTGAAGAGAGAGATTTGAGAGTTAGCGGGAAGAGAAGCAAGAGATCGAGAGAAAATTTGGGGGGTTAATAATTCATAAATTCATAAAAAATATAACTAAAAATATATATTCTTGCAAAGCAATATAGTATATAATATATATATTCGTTATATTTATAAAATAACTTTACAAAATAATCTAATATAATATATATTCATACAACTAAAAAAATAATCTAACATAATATATATTCATACAACTAAAAAAATATATTCCTGCAAGGCAAAATAATATATTCATATAATCATATAAAAAACTAAGTAAACACAACATTATTAGATTATTGTATAAAATATATACTTACAAAATCAATTCATCCCTATTATAACTAATTAGATTAATAGTTAACTTAGTTTTATATATTAAAAGATCAACTCACTTTAATTTTTAAAAGACCAATTGTACTATTTATCCTATACAAATAAGATCAATGTGCAATATTTCTCAATATGTGTGTGTGAAATATGCGACAAATATGCAAATATACTTGAAAGATATTATAAATAATAAGTATACATTTGATATTATATGAATTGTCAAATATACATGAAAGTATTATAAATAAAAGTAACACAAATTTTTGTATGTGGCTGGCCACACGGCCACACGGTGTGGCCAGCCACAATTTTTATTATATTTTAAAATACTACAACTCTTCTCTCTCCTTTTTTCTTATCTTCTTTT